TTACATTGTACAATTCAATGAGTTTTTCTTCAATAATAGTTGGCATACAATAATATATTAGTTTCAGTTGTATGGCATAGTGATTAGAGATCTATATAACTCACAAAGTGATCACCCCATTAAATCCGGTACTCCTATTCCCCCTTACATATTTTTTACAACATTATTGACTATTGGTTTTATGCTACACTTTATATCTCCATGTCTATTTTGTAACTATCCATTTTTACTTAATCCCTTTACTCTTTTTCACCATTCCCCAAACCCCCTCCCATCTAGCAGCCCTCAAAGTATTCTCTGTATCCATGAGTTTGTTTCTGTTTGTTGTTGTTGATTTTGTTTAGACTCCACCTGTACGTGAAATCATGTGCTATTTGTCTTTCTCTGTCTGATTTCGTTCAGCATAATACCCTCTAGGTCCATCAAGTCAATATCATTTTCCATCCCCTTCCTGTTAGTCTGTGTGTGTCTTTTAATCTGAAGTGAGTCTCTTATAGGCAAAATATGTAGGGGTCTGTTTTCTTATCCATTCATCCACCCTATATTTTGGTTGGAGCACTTAATTCTTTTCCATTTGAGGTCATTGTTGATAGGAACACAGTTATTACCATTCTTTATTCATGATTTTGATACTTTTTTTCCTTAAAGAAGTCCCTACAATATTTCCTGTAATACTGACATGGTGTTGATAAATTACTTTAACTTATTTTTGTCTGGAAAGCTCTTTATCAGTCCTTTGACACTAAACAATAGCTTTGTTGGATAAAGTATTCTTGGTTGTAGATCCTGGGTTTTCATCACATCTAATATTTTGTGCCAAGCCCTTCTGTCCTGCATAGTTTCTTTTGAGAAATCTACTGCAAGTCTTATGGGTGTTCCCTTGTAGGTAACTAACTGCTTTTCTCTTGCTTTTAAGATTCTCTCTTTGTGTTTAAACTCTGGCATTTTAATCATGATGTGTATTAGTGTGGACCTCTTTAAGTTCATCTTTTATGGGACTTGCTGAGCATTCAGGTACCCCTATGATATGGATATTTTTACATTTAATAGTGTCCCATAGGCTCCTTAAGTTATTATCATATTCTTGGCTTCTTTTTTCTTGCCATTCTGATTGGATGTCCTTGGCTTCCCCATCCTGTATATCAGTGGGTTGATCCTCATCTTCATCAACTCTTTTGGTTCACTCCAAAAAATTCTTCATCTCAGATAATATATTCTTCATTTCTGACTGGTTCTCTTTTATAATTTCCATTTCCACTTTTGTTTTATATCTCTTCGTTAACATTTTCACTGCATTCATCTACCCTTCCCCTAAGTTCATTGAGCATCCTTAAAACCAGTGTTTGAACTTTACATCTGTTAGATTGCTTGACAGCATTTTTCGTGAAGCTCTGTTCTGTTCTCTTATATGAGTTCTGCGTCTTTG